ACAGAGAGAGAGACACACACACAGAAACACAGAGAGACACACAGAGACACAGAGAGACACACAGAGACACACAGAGATGCAGAGAGACACGGAGAGACACACGGAGAGACACACGGAGAGAGACACAGACAGAGAGAGAGACACACGGAGAGAGACACACGGAGAGAGACACACACAGAGAGACACACACAGAGAGACACACACAGAGAGACACACAGGAGAGAGACACACACAGAGAGCCACACACAGAGAGACACACACAGAGAGACACACGGAGTGAGACACACACAGAGAGACACACACAGAGAGACACACACAGAGAGACACACACAGAGAGACACACAGAGAGACACACAGGAGAGAGACACAGACAGGAGAGAGACTAAGACAGAGACACACAGAGAGACACACACAGAGAGACAGACAGGAGAGAGACTAAGACAGAGACACAGAGAGAGAGAGAGACACACAGAGAGACAGGAGAGAGACTAAGACAGAGACACACACAGACAGAGAGACACACAGGAGAGAGACAGAGAGAGAGACTAAGACAGAGAGACACAGACAGAGACACAGACAGAGACACACAGACAGAGAGAGACACAGGAGAGAGACTAAGACAGAGACACAGACAGAGAGAGAGAGACACAGAGAGACACAGGAGAGAGACTAAGACAGAGACACACACAGACAGAGAGACACACAGGAGAGAGACAGAGAGAGAGACTAAGACAGAGACACACAGACAGAGAGACACACAGGAGAGAGACACAGACAGAGACACAGACAAGAGAGACACACAGACAGAGACACACAGACAGAGAGAGATACAGGAGCGAGACAGAGACACACAGACACAGAGAGACAGAGAGAGAGACAAAGACAGAGAGACACACACACAGGAGACAGAGACACACAGAGACACACAGACAGAGAGAGACACACAGACAGAGACACACAGACAGAGAGAGACACACAGACAGAGACACACAGACAGAGAGACACACAGACAGAGACACACAGACAGAGAGAGACACACAGACAGAGACACACAGACAGAGAGACACACAGAGAGAGAGACACACACACAGGAGACAGAGACACACAGACAGAGACACACAGGAGACAGAGACACACAGACAGAGACACACAGACACAAGGCACTCACAGCTTCTTGATCTCTGAGAGACCCAGGAAGGCTCCGGCCTCCACTGTGACGATGCCGTTATTCCGAAGGTCGCTGCACAAAGACACAAGCGGCATCAGCATACACATCATCATCAACATCATCAGTATCATCAATATCATCATCAGCAGCATCAGCAGCATCAGCAGTATCAGCAGCATCATCAGCATCATCAGCAACATCAATCTTGTCATCGGCATCATCAACATCGCCATAATCATCATCAGCATCATTATCATCATCAAGTCATCAGCATCATCACCATCAGCAGCATCACCATCAGCAGCATCATTAGCATCACCATTAGCAGTATAATCGCCCTCCAACAACAACGGAGGGCGGAGGAGCGACGCTCACAACAACGAGCGGAGCGCCGGGTGGCTAAAGCACAGCAGGTTGGCACAGTAGGGGGCACAGGTGGTGCATCAGCCAGTCATCTCAGTCAGTCGACCCGTGGCACCTGGGTCTGCCCCGTGACCTCCTGCCAGCGGGCGTTCGACACTTCACGTGGCCTCAAGGTGCACATAGCCTGGCACAAGCGTCGTGGTGACGTCACCGCCACTTAGTGGCGAATGGCGGTTGTTGTTGTTGTTGTTGTGTCTGTGTGTGTGTCACTGTGTGTGTGTGTGTCACTGTGTGTGTGACCTGTGTGTGTGTCACTGTGTGTGTGTCACTGTGTGTGTGCCCTGTGTGTGTGTCACTGTGTGTGTGACCTGTGTGTGTGTGTCTCTGTGTGTGTGTCTCTGTGTGTGTGACCTGTGTGTGTGTCACTGTGTGGGTGTCACTGTGTGTGTGTGACATGTGTGTGTGTCACTGTGTGTGTGTCACTGTGTGTGTGTGTGTGACATGTGTGTGTGTCACTGTGTGTGTGTCACTGTGTGTGTACCTGTGTGTGTGTCACTGTGTGTGTGTCACTGTGTGTGTGTGTGACCTGTGTGTGTGTCACTGTGTGTGTTACTGTGTGTGTGTGTGACCTGTGTGTGTGTCACTGTGTGTGTGTGTGTGTGTCACTGTGTGTGTGTCACTGTGTGTGTGACATGTGTGTGTGTCACTGTGTGTGTGACCTGTGTGTGTGTGTGTGACCTGTGTGTGTGTGTGTGTGACCTATGTGTGTGTGTCTGTGTGTGTGTCTCTGTGTGTGTGACTGTGTGTGTGTCACTGTGTGTGTGACCTGTGTGTGTGTCACTGTGTGTGTTACTGTGTGTGTGTGTGACCTGTGTGTGTGTCACTGTGTGTGTGTGTGACATGTGTGTGTGTGTGACCTGTGTGTGTGTCACTGTGTGTGTGTGTGACGTGTGTGTCTGTGTGTGCGCGCCACTCACAGCCTCTCCAGGGAGTTGAGACCGATGAAGGAGCCGTTCCTGAGTCTTGAGATCTGATTGTTACTCAGAATTCTACACCACAACCACAACAACAACATTAGCAGTTTGTACTCAACCACTCACTCACTGGCTCACCCACTCTCACTCACCTACTCATTCACTCAACCACTGACTCACCCACTCAACCACTCATTGATGCACTCACCCACTCAACCACTCTCTCATTCATCCACCCACCCAACCACTGATCCACTCATTAATCCAGCTACTCATTCACTCATCCACTCACTCACCCATCCACCCACGAACTCACTCACCCACTCACTCACCCCCCACTCACTCACACCCCACTCACTCACCCACCACTAACTCACCCCCCCACTCACTCACCCCCCACTCACTCACCCATCCACCCACGAACTCACTCACCCACCGACTCATTCACTCAGTCACCCACTCACTCACCCACTCATACTCACTCACCCCCCACTCACTCACACCCCACTCACTCATCCACTCACTCACCCACTCACTCACTCACCCATCCACCCACGAACTCACTCACCCACCGACTCAATCACTCACTCATCCACCCACTGATCCACTCATTAATCCACCTACTCATTCACTCATCCACTCACCCACCCCCCAACTCACTCACCCATCCACCCACTCACTCACCGCCCACTCACCCACTCACTCACCCCCCCCACTCACTCACCCATCCACCCACGAACTCACTCACCCACTCACTCACCCCCACTCACTCACCCATCCACCCACGAACTCACAAACCCACCGACTCAATCACTCACTCATCCACCCGCCCACCAACTGTTCCATGCATTAATCCACCTACTCATTCACTCACCCACTCACTCACCCCCCACTCACTCACTCACCCACTCACTCACCCCCCACTCACCCCCCACTCACTCACCCATCCACCTACGAACTCACTCACCCACTCACTCACCCCCCACTCACTCACCCATCCACCCAGGAACTCACTCACCCCCCACTCACTCACCCATCCACCCACTCACTCACCCATCCACCCACTCACTCACCCATCCACCCACTCACTCACCCACTCACTCACCCCCCACTCACTCACCCATCCACCTACGAACTCACTCACTCACCCACTCACTCACCCATCCACCCAGGAACTCACTCACCTACTCACTCACCCCCTACTCACTCACCCATCCACCCACTCACTCACTCACCCACCCACCCACTCACTCACTCACCCCCCACTCACCCCCCATTCACTCACCCATCCACCTACGAACTCACTCACCCACTCACTCACTCACTCACCCACTCACTCACTCACCCCCCACTCACCCATCCAGCTACGAACTCACTCACTCACCCACTCACTCACCCCCCCACTCACTCACCCATCCACCCAGGAACTCACTCACCCACTCACTCACCCCCCACTCACTCACCCCCCACTCACTCACTCACTCACCCCCCACTCACCCCCACTCACTCACCCATCCACCTACGAACTCACTCACCCACTCAGTCACCCCCCACTCACCCATCCACCTACGAACTCACTCACCCATCCACCCACTCACTCACCCACTCACTCACTCACTCACCCCCCACTCACCCCCCACTCACTCACCCATCCACCTACGAACTCACTCACTCACCCACTCACTCACCCATCCACCCACTCACTCACCCCCCACTCACTCACCCACCCACCCACTCACCCACCCACCCACTCACTCACCCACCCACCCACCCACTCACCGACTCACCCACCCACCCACCCACTCACCCACTCACTCACTCACCCACCCACCCACTCACCCACTCACTCACCCACCCACTCACCCACTCACTCACTCACCCACTCACCCGCCCACCCCCCTCACCCACCCACTCACCCACCCACTCACTCACCCACCCACCCACCCACTCACTCACCCGTCCACCCACTCACTCACCCACCCACCCACTCACTCACCCACCCACCCACCCACTCACTCACCCACTCACTCACCCACCCACCGACTCACCCACCCACCCCCCTCACCCACCCACCCACTCACTCACTCACCCACCCACTCACTCACCCACCCACCCACTCACTCACCCCCTCACTCACCCACCCACCGACTCACCTACCCACCCCCCTCACCCACCCACCCACTCACCCACTCACCCACCCACTCACCCACCCACTCACTCACCCACCCACCCACCCACTCACTCACCCGTCCACCCACTCACTCACCCACCCACCCACTCACTCACCCACCCACCCACCCACTCACCCACTCACTCACCCACCCACCGACTCACCCACCCACCCCCCTCACCCACCCACCCACTCACTCACTCACCCACCCACTCACTCACCCACCCACCCACTCACTCACCCCCTCACTCACCCACCCACCGACTCACCTACCCACCCCCCTCACCCACCCACCCACTCACCCACTCACCCACCCACTCACCCACCCACTCACCCACTCACTCACTCACCCACTCACTCACTCACTCACCCACTCACCCACCCACTCACCCACCCACTCACTCACTCACCCACCCACTCACCCGTCCACCCACCCACCCACTCACAGTGTGACGGTGCGGTTGGGCAGAGTGCCGGGCAGCGGGGTGTCCACCAGCGCCCCACCGCTGCACACCACACGGCGCCCCAACGGCGCCGCCGCTGACCGTCCGCGCTCCTCCGAGCAGGAGCAGCGAGCGGGACCCATGGTCTCGCCGCAGCCGATGGCCGCCGCCGCCGCCGCCGCCGCTGGCGCCGCTGGCGCCAACGCCAGCGACGTCATCACCATCGCTAAGGAGGCGACGCTGCCCATGAGGCTGGCGGGGGAGAGACGCTGGAGCCGGTGGATGGGGCGCACGGAAGCCGCCGCTGATGATGACGATGACGATGGTGACGGTGGTGGTGAGAGAGTGGGAGCCATGATTTCACCTGGAAAAGAGAGAGGGGCGAGTGGGTGAGCGGGCGGGCGAGTGAGCGAGTGGGTGAGGGACTGATTGTGTGAGTGAGTGAGTGGGTGAGTGAGTGTGTGAGTGAGGGACTGATTGTGTGAGCGAGTGAGTGTGTGGGTGAGTGACTGATTGTGTGAGCGAGTGGGTGAGTGAGTGAATGAGTGACTGATTGTGTGAGCGAGTGAGTGAGTGTGTGAGTCAGTGAGTGGGCGAGTGTGAGAGTGGGTGGGTGAGTGAGTGTGTGAGTCAGTGAGTGGGCGAGTATGCGAGTGGGTGGGTGAGTGAGGGACTGATTGTGTGAGCGAGTGAGTGGGCGAGTGAGTGAGTAGGTGAGTGAGTGAGTGGGCGAGTGAGTGGGTGAGTGAGTGGGTGAGTGAGTGTGCGAGTGAGTGAGCGAGTGAGAGGGTGAGTTGGTGGATGAGTTGGTGAGTGGGTGAGTAGGTGAGTGAGTGAGGGACTGATTGTGTGAGCGAGTGAGTGAGCGAGTGAGTGAGCGAGTGAGTGAGTGAGCGAGTGAGTGGGCGAGTGGGTGAGTGAGTGTGCGAGTGAGTGAACGAGTGAGTAGGTGAGTGAGTGAACGAGTGAGTGGGCGAGTGAGAGGGTGAGTTGGTGGATGAGTCATGTGGAGCGGTGGTGCACCGGTTAGGGCGCTGAACCCGACGACCCGAGTTCGATTCCTGCTCACGGCCACCAACCCCAGTGACAGTGATTATCTGAATCCGGTCCTGGACCTCGCCTAGGTCGACTCAGCCTCAACAGGAGTACCTGGTGAGGTCTGTGCAGGCTACATGGGGGGGTGAGTAGGTGGGTAAGGGGTTGACCGAGTGACTGAGTAGGTGACTGAGTGTGTGAGTGAATGAGTAGATTCATCACACAGAGACCCATAGACTCATCACCACCACACAGAAACCCATAGACTCACCACCACCACACAGAGACCCATAGACTCACCACCACCACACAGAGACCCATAGACTCACCACCACCACACAGAGACCCATAGACTCATCACCACCACACAGAGACCCATAGACTCACCACCACCACACAGAGACCCATAGACTCACCACCACCACACAGAGACCCATAGACTCACCACCACCACACAGAGACCCATAGACTCATCACCACCACAAAGAGACCCATAGACTCATCACCACCACACAGAGACCCATAGACTCATCACCACCACACAGAGACCCATAGACTCACCACCACCACACAGAGACCCATAGACTCACCACCACCACAGAGACCCATAGACTCACCACCACCACTATACAGAGACCCATAGACTCACCACCACCACACAGAGACCCATAGACTCATCACCACCACACAGAGACCCATAGACTCATCACCACCACACAGAGACCCATAGACTCATCACCACCACACAGAGACCCATAGACTCATCACCACCACACAGAGACCCATAGACTCATCACCGCCACACAGAGACCCATAGACTCATCACCACATAGAGACCCATAGACTCATTACCACCACACAGAGACCCATAGACTCATCACCACCACAAAGAGACCCATAGACTCATCACCACATAGAGACCCATAGACTCATCACCACCACACATAGACCCATAGACTCACCACCACCACACAGAGACCCATAGACTCATCATCACCACACAGAGACCCATAGACTCATCACCACCACACAGACACTCATAGACTTATCACCACCACCACACAGAGACCCATAAACTCACATTGTATATACAGATGTACCGTTAAATATAATCCTGCTACTCCTACTAATGCTACTACTGATGATACTACTGATGATGATGCTGCTACTGTTGATGATGCTACTGCTAAACGGAAATCCGTTTCAATCCACTGCTGGATGAACGCAATCATATTAATCATCTTCTTTGATTCTTTCGGTAAAGTCACCACCACGTAGAATGAGAATAAAATAATAAATTGATACAAATAAAATAACGCGATAAAATTATCGCGACGTTTCGGCCACAACACAAGCGGCCTTCATCAGGTGAAGGGGACGAGACTGTGTGGTGGTGACAGTCTGTCCTCCAGGACAGTCTCGTCCCCTTCGCCTGACGAAGGCCGCTTGTGTTGTGGCCGAAACGTCGTGAGAATTTTATCGCGTTATTTTATTTTTTATCAATTTTTTTTATTTTATTCTCATTCTACGTGGTGGCGACTTTACCGAAAGAACCAAAGAAAGATGAATCCTTGCAGTCACGAAAGCTTTAAATCATATTATGTTAATTATTACGCCGAATTATATTCACACACAAACATCAGGCTTCCTCAGAGAAACTTGAGCTTAAAGTAAATACGTTTAGATAAACAAATAAATAAACAACGTCGGCCGTACGGGAAAAAAGTTTACAGGAATTTTTTTGTTTTTGTCCTCTTTTAACAATTAACAAGAAAAAAATGTTTCGGTGAAATTCTGAGGTAAAAAAAATATAAAAACAACAAAAATCTATCCGCGTTTATGTTTGGTCCAGCTATATGTGCGTTGATCGACACTTTTTGTTTAACTCTTAACGGCAACGCCAAATAGCTTGGCCTTTGTTGCTGGAATCTCTCTTTTGAGCCCAAGCCTCACCGTCTCGTCGCTCCTGGTTCTCGCTCCTCACGGCGGTACGAGTGCGGGAGAAATTTCGTCCTTTTCCCGTGCCGCGAAATCCGAATTCGTCTTCGCTGCCGAGGGAAAGTCGACGCCTGCGAACACTTTGGTCGCCTTTTCACGAAAGTAAATTAGACATTTAACTTCGAAACCCGCCACCATCGCCGCCGTCCGCCGTCCGCTACAACGTAAACAATGGGCGCCAAACCGCCGCCATTACGGGGGGGGAGGGGGGGCGTCGAGGGGGGGGGAGTGACGTCACCAGGTATTTTAATCCGGCGGCCATTTTACGTAGGGGGTGAGGCTCCACCCCTCCCCCCCATCCGTTTCTATGGAGCTCGAGCGGAAAGTCGCGGTCTTTGTGACGTCACTGACGTCAACGCAACAGCGTGTGGAGGGGGCGACGGCGTGGTCTACCCCCCTCCCACGTGGCTCCCCCTCCCACGTGCTCCCCCTCACACGTGCCCCCCCTCACACGTGGCTCCCCCTCCCACGTGCTCCCCCTCACACGTGCCCCCCCTCACACGTGCTCCCCCTCACACGTGCTCCCCCTCACACGTGCCCCCCCCTCCCACGTGCTCCCCCTCCCACGTGCTCCTCCTCCCACGTGCTCCCCCTCCCACGTGCTCCCCCTCCCACGTGCTCCCCCTCCCACGTGCTCCCCCCTCCCACGTGCTCCCCCTCCCACGTGCTCCCCCTCCCACGTGCTCCCCCCTCCCACGTGCTCCCCCTCCCACGTGCTCCCCCCTCCCAAGTGCTCACCCTCCCACGTGCTCCCCCCTCCTCCCACGTGATCCCCCTCCCACGTGCTCCCCCTCCCACGTGCTCCCCCCTCCCACGTGGCTCCTCCCACGTGCTCCCCCCTCCCACGTGATCCCCCTACTATATTAGTGTGTGTATGTTCGTGTGTATATTAGTGTGTATGTTAGTATGTATGTTAGTGTGTATGTTAGTGTGTGTTAGTGTGTATGTATGTTAGTGTGTATATTAGTGTGTGTGTTAGTGTGTATGTTAGTGTGTATATTAGTGTGTATGTTCGTGTGTATATTAGTGTGTGTGTTAGTGTGTATGTTAGTGTGTATATTAGTGTGTGTGTGTTAGTGTGTATGTTAGTGTGTATGTTAGTGTGTGTGTGTTAGTGTGTATGTTAGTGTGTGTGTTAGTGTGTATATTAGTGTGTGTGTGTTAGTGTGTATATTAGTGTGTGTGTTAGTGTGTATGTGTGTGTGTTCGTGTGTATGTATGTTAGTGTGTATATTAGTGTGTGTGTGTTTGTGTGTATGTTAGTGTGTATGTTAGTGTGTATATTAGTGTGTATGTTAGTGTGTGTGTGTTTGTGTGTATGTTAGTGTGTGTATGTTAGTGTGTGTATGTTAGTGTGTATATTAGTGTGTGTTAATGTGTGTGTTATTGTGTGTTAGTGTGTTTGTGTGTGAACTGTGCTGTGTGATTGTTATTAACATCCTGACCCGTGCCTCCGACTGGACATCTGTAACACAAAGAGCTTTAGAGCCCTTCGGATTCCTCCTGCTGCAGGAGCAATACTGCAGAGTCTGATGATGGGACCACACTCACCCACCCATTCGTGTGATGTCTGATAACAGAGGCTACGACACAGCAGCTCAGTGGGACCTTCTTACACCTGGCGCAATTACAAAGTAAAAGAGTTTCAGAGCTTCGGTCAAATTGAATCAACAAAATGTCGTTCCGTTCATTTTTATTTTAATGTTAAAGCCGGACCCGGAACCAAAACACGCCCGCGCGCAACAGCCGGAACCATTTCCCAACGCCGTCAGCGAATTGTTTCCCCTGCACAACGACGACCCCCCGCGGCGACTTCTTCCGCCGGTGGCCGGAAGTGGCTGGTGCACAAACTCCGGAGCCGTTCACGACGACAAACTGTAAATCTGAAAGTCGGCGCGTGGACAGCGGGGTCGACTATGACGTAGGGTGGACTATGACGTAGGGTGGACTATGACGTAGGGTGGACTAGCACGTGGACAGCGAGGTCGACTATGACGTAGGGTGGACTATGACGTAAATAGCGGGGTCGACTATGACGTAAGGTCGACTATGACGTAGATAGCGGGGTCAACTATGACGTAGATAGCGGGGTCGACTATGACGTAGATAGCGGGGTCGACTATGACGTAGGGTGGACTATGACGTAGGGTGGACTAGGACGTAGGGTGGACTAGGACGTAGACAGGGTGGACTAGCACGTAGGGTGGACTAGGACGTAGAGTGGACTAGCACGTAGGGTGGACTAGGACGTAGGGTGGACTAGGACGTAGGGTCGACTATGACGTAGGGTGGACTAGGACGTAGGGTGGACTACGACGTAGGGTGGACTAGGACGTAGACAGGGTGGACTAGGAAGTAGGGTGGACTAGGACGTAGACAGGGTGGACTAGGACGTAGGGTGGACTAGGAAGTGGGGTGGACTAGGACGTAGACAGCGAGGTGGACAGCGAGGTGGTGGAGGGCTCACGAAGTGCAGCGGTCACGGAGGGTGTTGGCCTGCAAGTCGCTCGTGCATCCTCGCTCTCGGCAATCGTGGTGGTGGTGGTGGTGTGTGGTGTGGTGGTAGTAGTGTGTGGTGTGGTGGTGTAGTTGCGGTGTGGTGGTGGTAGTGTGTGTGGTGGTGGTGGTGGTCGTGGTGTGGTGTAGTTGTGGTAGTTGTGGTGTGGTGGTGGTGGTCGTGGTGGTGGTGGTAGTGTGTGTGGCGGTGGTAGTGTGGTGGTGGCGGTGGTAGTGTGTGTGGTGGTGGTAGTGTGGTGGTGGCGGTGATAGTGTGTGTGTGGTGGTAGTGTGTGTGGTGGTGGTCGTGGTGTGGTGGTGGTGGTTGTGGTGGTGTTGTGGTGTGGTGGTTGTGGTGGTGTTGTGTGGTGGTGGTAGTGGCGGTGACTGGTGAGTGTGGTGGTGGTGTTGTTGTGGTGTGGTGGTGGTGTTGTTGTGGTGTGGTGGTGGTGGTCGTGGTGTGGTGGTTGTGGTGGTGTAGGTGTGGTGTGGTGGTGGTTGTGGTGGTAGTGTGTGTGGTGGTGACTGGTGAGTGTGGTGGTGGTGTAGTTGTGGTTGTGGTGGTGTAGTTGTGGTGGTGGTTGTGGTGGTTGTGGTGTGGTGGTGGTTGTGCTGTGGTGGTTGTGGTGGCGGTGGTAGCGTGTGTGGTGGTGACTGGTGAGTGTGGTGGTGGTGGTGGTTGTGGTAGTTGTGGTGTGGTGGTGACTGGTGAGTGTGGTGGTGGTGGTTGTGTTGTGGTAATGGTGTTGAGTCTGTGGTGCAGTGTTGAGTCTATGGGCAGTGTTGAGTCTATGGGTATTAGTTTTGAGTCTATGGGTGTTAGTTTTTAATCTGTGTAGCAGTGTTGAGTCTATGGGTGGCAGTGTTGAGTCTATGGGTGGCAGTCTTGAGTCTATGGGTGGCGGTGTTGAGTCTATGGGTGACAGTGCTGAGTCTATGGGTGACAGTGCTGAGTCTATGGGTGGCAGTGCTGAGTCTATGGGTGACAGTGCTGAGTCTATGGGTGACAGTGCTGAGTCTATGGGTGACAGTGCTGAGTCTATGGGTGACAGTGCTGAGTCTATGGTGGCAGTGCTGAGTCTATGGTGACAGTGCTGAGTCTATGGGTGACAGTGCTGAGTCTATGGGTGACAGTGCTGAGTCTATGGGTGGCAGTGCTGAGTCTATGGGTGACAGTGCTGAGTCTATGGGTGGCAGTGCTGAGTCTATGACAGTGCTGAGTCTATGGGTGGCAGTGCTGAGTCTATGGGTGGCAGTGCTGAGTCTATGACAGTGCTGAGTCTATGGGTGGCAGTGCTGAGTCTGTGGGTGACAGTGCTGAGTCTGTGGGTGACAGTGCTGAGTCTATGAGTGACAGTGCTGAGTCTATGGGTGGCAGTGCTGAGTCTATGAGTGACAGTGCTGAGTCTGTGGGTGACAGTGCTGAGTCTATGGGTGACAGTGCTGAGTCTATGGGTGACAGTGCTGAGTCTATGGGTGGCAGTGCTGAGTCTATGGGTGACAGTGCTGAGTCTATGGGTGACAGTGCTGAGTCTGTGGGTGACAGTGCTGAGTCTGTGGGTGACAGTGCTGAGTCTATGAGTGACAGTGCTGAGTCTATGGGTGGCATTGCTGAGTCTGTGGGTGACAGTGCTGAGTCTATGGGTGACAGTGCTGAGTCTATGGGTGACAGTGCTGAGTCTATGGGTGGCAGTGCTGAGTCTATGGGTGGCAGTGCTGAGTCTATGGGTGACAGTGCTGAGTCTATGGGTGGCAGTGCTGAGTCTATGGGTGACAGTGCTGAGTCTATGGGTGACAGTGCTGAGTCTATGGTGGCAGTGCTGAGTCTATGGTGACAGTGCTGAATCTATGGGTGACAGTGCTGAGTCTATGGGTGACAGTGCTGAGTCTATGGGTGGCAGTGCTGAGTCTATGGGTGACAGTGTTGAGTCTATGGGTGACAGTGCTGAGTCTATGGGTGGCAGTGCTGAGTCTGACAGTGCTGAGTCTATGGGTGGCAGTGCTGAGTCTATGGGTGACAGTGCTGAGTCTATGGGTGGCAGTGCTGAGTCTATTGGTCACAGTGCTGAGTCTATGGTGACAGTGCTGAGTCTATGGGTGACAGTGCTGAGTCTATGGGTGACAGTGCTGAGTCTATGGGTGACAGTGTTGAGTCTATGGGTGACAGTGCTGAGTCTATGGGTGACAGTGCTGAGTCTATGGGTGAGTGTTGAGTCTATGGGTGACAGTGCTGAGTCTATGGGTGGCAGTGCTGAGTCTATGGGTGACAGTGCTGAGTCTATGGGTGACAGTGCTGAGTCTATGGGTGACAGTGCTGAGTCTGTGACAGTGTTGAGTCTATGGTGACAGTGCTGAGTCTATGGGTGACAGTGCTGAGTCTATGGGTGACAGTGCTGAGTCTATGGGTGACATTGCTGAGTCTATGAGTGACAGTGCTGAGTCTATGGGTGACATTGCTGAGTCTATGGGTGACAGTGCTGAGTCTATGGGTGACAGTGCTGAGTCTATGGGTGACAGTGCTGAGTCTATGGGTGACAGTGCTGAGTCTATGGGTGACAGTGCTGAGTCTATGGGTGACAGTGCTGAGTCTATGGGTGACAGTGCTGAGTCTATGGGTGACAGTGCTGAGTCTATGGGTGACAGTGCTGAGTCTATGGGTGACAGTGCTGAGTCTATGGGTGACATTGCTGAGTCTATGGGTGACAGTGCTGAGTCTATGGGTG